CCCCCCCCCCCCCCCCCCCCCCCCACTGCACTGATGATAATTGCGGAGGCACCCTGATCTTGCCAGTGCAGAAATGATACCACCATCAGAGGCAAAGAGCAAGCACAGAAAGCCTCAAAAATCACAGTCCGTCTCTGCCAAGAATGACTAGAATGTAAAGGGATGACGAAGACCCGATCCGGCCAAGTTCTTAAGGCTAACATGGGATAATGAAACAAAGAGCCTCATCAAGCCCCTTCTTAATAGCAGACAGCTTAATTCATTTACATCTTACTTTGATGATAGGACAAGGGGGGGGGGGGGCATTGATTTAAGTCAGCAGAAGTCTCGTATGCACTTGTACAGGAGAACAGAAGACGAGAAGAGACACACTTTCAAGTCCTGTCTCTTCTTCATCTCACCCAGTCATACACCAGGAGGCACATTCCATTATGTACTTCCAGATGCTCACTTCATATTGCACATTTTTTAGAGCATAACAGAGGCTTCTTATGGGGACAAGCCTGGATAAACAAGTGAGATAATATATATCTAAGATAGATTTGGGGTAAGGTTTTACACAGGAAGTTGTAGACTTTAAGCACCCACCTATGCAGGGCTGCTCACTGTGTCCATCACGGGTGTTACAGCTGAAGGCAGAGCGTAATTCCGCAGGCTTTCAAGCTGCGAGCAATCACCTCACACATTCCCAGATGGGTAGTCAGCCAGTCAGTAAGGCAGTCAGGGCAAGGAGAAGCGGTGCCAACTGAGGGAAGCAAAGTGAAGGGCTATTGATTGAGCCTCCTCCGTAATTGACCGCCTGTACCCCTGTTGCTCTGGCGTTAACGATCAGGTAAAAGGCCACGTCAGGTCTCCGTGACCCGTCAGTCATACACGAGGACCAGCGCTCATCATTTGTTATCAGAGAGGAGCTGCTGTCAGATTTGCCCTGAGTGAGGAGAAAGATGATGGAAGGAGGGAACGAGCGAGACAGGGAGAGGGAGAGAATGAGCAGGAGACAGATAAGACACAGAGAAAGACGAGTAGGAGGAGGTGATGAAACATGAGAGCGAGATAAGATGGTAATAAGAAGGATTGAAGCGGACTAATTATGATTCACTACCAGATCCCACAACTCCTCCTTCTTTACTCTTTCCTCCCGAGCCTCATGCCAAAGTCAACTCTTACACCACGAATATCCAGACAAAGACTGTTAAAAATACCTGCCACCCCATCCAATTACTTCCATTAATTTGGGACAGCAACACCTCCCACGGTAGTCGGACCTAATTACTGACTGACAGAGTATCCAATGCTCCTCCGCTGTCTTATCCTCTGTTAAACAGACCAAGCTGTCAAATCTATATCCAAGTGGGTTTGTGTACCGTTTGAGCCCTGCTACTTCTAGACGTGGCTCCAAGGAGCACACAGAAAGCCTTATTTACAGAGGTAGAGGTAGAGGTTGTGCCTAGATAAAGCTGTGACTCTTTATCAGAGCAGGAGAAAAGCACTAGCTCCTTGTCAACACACCCAAGCAGTGGAGAAAATGAGCCGCAAAGCTGAATTAATTCAGGGAAACTGAAGGCGGACTCTTCCTTTGAATGTCTGAGCGTGCCTGTACACAAACCGAGCCGATGCCTCCTGTGCGCTGTTAGCCGAGCTCTCTCTCTCTCCGCTCCCTCTCTCTTTTTAAGCTCATTTACTCAGTGCTCTGTTAGCACAGAATCGAGGCACCCGTGATGGACACACAACACAAACAACCTCATCCTGGTGTGTGCAGAATGGCACAAAAATCGCAGGGCCGGTTTACAAAAACACAGCCACAAAAATCAGACGTTCCGAATTCATGCTTCTGGAAGATGAATTGGCCGTCCTTGGCTCTTGATACGAGAGGGAGAGCACACTAGGAAAAGGTGTATGGAAAGAGAATACAATGAAACAGGGATGAGGTTTTCCACAGTTCTGTCACAATAAAAAGATAAAGGTGGAATGTAGAGGGACAATTTAGGTTTCCATCTTTGTGTAATCTCCCTTATCTCCTCCTTCCCCCTCCTCTCCCTCCCTCTCCTGGCGATGACGCTGAAGGGTACCTGTTTGTTCTCTTTCGTTACATTGTGAAGAAAAGAGATTTGCCCTTTTTGCTAAGCGACACGCACAAAAACAGCAACAAAAGGATCTTCGCAACCTCCAGAACTATACTTGTGCACGATCTCTGATTAAAACTGCATCTGCAACTGCATGACTCAGCTGAATCTGGGACACTTTCTGCATGCTGTTCTTCAAACAAGGCCTATAAATAGCACACACCTATATGTGTAGAAGAACAAAAAAACAAACAACATATTTCCTCTTATGTAATGTACAATAACCTCAGGCCTTAATTGTTAGGATAGCAATTAATCTAACAATGCTCGGGTGTGCTGGAAGTAAAATCATAAATGAACACTGCAATAGAAACCAGCTTTGCTTTAGGATTGCTTTGCTAATATGCATCTCCTCTTGGTTATTCTTACTGCAATTATTCTTTTAGAGTTACAGTTATTTTAATGTTTATTTGATTATGATTAGCTGTTTATTCATTTGCCTCCCTTCTCGTTGCACATGTATTTCAGTAATCTAACTTGTTTAAATTATCTACACTTTCCTTTTTCTTTTTTTTTATCATGTAAGGCACACTGAGCTGCATTTTGTTTCTGAAAGGTGCTTGATAGTTATTAACTCTGCCAAAGAGGTAATGTTTTCGGTTCGGTTTGTTTGTCTGTCTGTCAGCAGGATTACGGAGAAATTACTGGCCCCATTTTTATGAAAATTGGTTGAAGAGTGAAGCATGGGCAAAAGAATAACCCATTAAAGGTTGGAGCGGATCCGAATCACGGGATGGATACACAAATTGTATTTCACTTTTGTGAAAATGCGAGCGCCCCTCTAATTTTAAATTCATTCAAACACATTAAAAATAAGAGAGTTGATTAAAGGAGTAGAAGTACTTGGCATTTTGTAGACTCAGCATTTAGTTTAATTGGTTGAGCAGGTCAAACTATTACTTTCCTTTTATGAATAATTGTAGAGTGTTGCCATTTTAATGGCTTGCTTTGTAATGGGCTGACAGGAAGAAGTGATGTAAGATGTAATATAATTACCACACACTGACACGAGTAGGGTTAAATGGTGGCGCGGCAGTAAAATCCTTAATTCTCCTAATACAAATGTCATTTCTTCTCTACTTTTCTGCCTCCTTGCTTTGAATCCTTTTATCACCACCACATATTTTACCGTTTCCGTCTTTCACCTTGCAGTGGTCAGCAGATTGTTAATCCGTGAAACATAAGGCGCATAACGAATGGAAATTAGCTTAATAAACCTGACTTCTAAAAGGCAGTCCTGTGCATACCCAGAGGAGCTGTTACACAATACTGTATGATGAAAGCACCTTATGGCAGAGACTCTGATAGAGGTAGGTTTACACTGTATCAACTCAGGAGGGTTATCTAAACAAACTGAGCTGATGCCAGCTGGCTTCTCCCGCTGAACCGCCCGAAGGACACTTGATGAAGCATACTGTCAATTCAAGCCCTATTGAGATATACAGTAACTCCAGAAAAGAAAAAATATGGGAATTTTGAATCAGATTTCCCTCAAAGTGGAAACCTTGTGTCTAACAAATAACAACAATGTGCCAAACAAGTGTCTCCTTGAATCTCTGTGACTTATAAGGACAAATAAAAACCTCCCCTCCTTCCTCTCTGAAGCTGTGTTTGAATACTGAATAGCAGCTCGTAGAAAGCTGTTCACAAATCAGTTAAAGGGTGTGAGAAGTTTGGTTGCTGCTGACATAATTCCCGCCCAATAAACTCTACAGAGCTATCATAAATGCAGCAACAAGAGCAATTAAGAGCTTTATAAATGATTAATGAATACGACTCACTTAATCCCCAGACCCAGTCGGCACTTTGCGTTAACCAACCAAGAAATTACACACCACATAGTCATATCTCTGGAAGAAAAATATAACTCAAGTCAGCATGAATGAAAAAAGGTCTATCCCCGTGAAAAGATAAAAGGTGGTGAGGCGTTACCTGAGCTCGGGGCGGGCTGTTTCTTTTTGGATGTTTCAATGCCTGCTCCAATCAAGTTCATGATCTTCTCAATCTGTTGAAGAGAACAAGCATGAAACATCGGGGAAATGTCAATTACGAATCGTCCATCAGCCAAACCAATTAGAAAGCAGGAACACTGAAGGACTGGCACTGGGTGAGGCATGAGGACAAACTGCTGCTGCTGGGAGTACTGGAGTGGAGGCGGGCAGTTTTGCAATGATGAATTACAAGCAACAGTCCAACGTCAATGACCAACCCACAACTCAGCAGAAGCACAGCGAGGTGAGGAGGTGAATTACAATCGGGAAGCTTTTGAAACTCCAAACTATTGAGGCCTGTTAGGCCGTGTTTAGCCGAGTCCGTACAGCGCACAAACTAACCCTCCGGAGATTCAGATCTGTTGCTGGCTGTTTCTTTTTGAGTATTTGATTGCCCTCTCAGACCTGTATTATTTAAGCTTCACAGAAGCAAGGCAACAGCTTACTGCAAGGTTAAGTGAGCACAATGCTGCATGCAGGAGATTACAGAGCAACTCAGAGAAGAGTTGTTTAGGGGCTTAGAGACAAAAATGTTTATTTAAGTAGTCTCAGGCTTTCCAGGAGAGCCAAAATACATTTCCAGGTTGTTTGCTGTTGTTTATTTGCTGGATAACTGAACAAGTAACTCAAGTTCCAGCAAAGTGCTTTCGGAACTAGATGCAGTGGGTTATAAAAACTGGTCAGGAAATATAAGTAGGACAACAAATGAGCTTTAGTTTTTTCTTCATCCAGAGAAAATCTAACTACCTGCATCTATAAAGCTCGCTAATTAACACTTTACATATGTATCTCATCTGATTAATGCAGACAAAAAACAAACTATTTGTGCTTTTATTGAGGGTTGGGCGGGTTGCCTGTCAAACTCATGGTGATGACAGGAAGTCACACTGTTGAGCCAACAAATTGCCCTGCACACAACCCCCATGTAAAAACCACAAATTGTCATTTTCACTCTTTGTTTTTGTTGTAATGTGATTTAAACAATGTAGCCAGGAGTTGCAAATTCCATTAATGTTTGACATAGCCACTCTTCCTATGCTAATCCTGCCAGCTGCCTCAAATTGAATGAGCAGATAAGCGAGTGGTAGCAATCTTCTCATCTAATTCTCAAACACCAAAGTGAACAAGCAACAGAGCGAGAGCTGAATGAGGTGGGACTACTTAGAACAGGTGTGAGATGAGTTGTTATCCTAATGTCCTGTCACTGTTCCCTCTTATTAAACATTGAAATACAAGGATTGCATTTCACTGATTTCATTAAGCTCAAGTGGAACACACACTTTGAAGTACCCAGTGTCATATTCCTTCCATATAAACATACAAAGTGGTATTCACAAGTCATGATATCCCAACTAAAACAAACACTCTGGGATTTATCAAATGTACTGCATATTTGAATAATAATCACTTGTCGCAGTTTGTCCACAGAAACCACACTACTTGCTGACACTTCATGCTTCAAGGACAACAGGACGATCATGCACAAGTGTGCCATTCACTCCATTCTATAGAGAACACACTTTACATATTATTATCATTTGACTGTTGTAGAAAACAGGATATCTGCAAGAAGTTATTTTGACAATTTTAAACGAGGCAATTAGCATGCTGGAGTCACCTAAAATGTCATGTGCATGCTACTGCAGATCTAAATTTAGAATCACTGGACTAGTCTATTCACAATCGGCAATGAAGATTTTTGTGAGCCTGAAAAGCTGATTCTGCTTTCACTAGTGACACCAGAGACACAGCCAGGCTTATTTGATGTAATATTTAGTGTTTGAAAAAGCCCTATGCACTTCGCTAGTGGCATCAACACTGTGGAAAAGCCTTGATTCATTTGGAAGTCAGGCACGTGGGACGCATGGCATATGCCTCCAGCAATGCAGACCTCACATTACTCTTTGAATTAACCCAGTTACATTCTATATCACACACACACACACACACACACACACACACACACACACACACACACACACACCAGGACTACATTACGTCTGAGCTTAAGTGCATCGTTATTAAAACCAGTCACCAAAATGCTGCCTCTAGGGACGCCTGCATCATCATAGTTTAAGTGCGGAAATATTTCATAACGCACCCTCAGCGTCATCCACCGAATAGCCAGCCGGATGGACGAGGAACGTGTTGAATATATTTATGTTATTCAAAAGAGAAATGTATTGTTAAATATCAGTTCATGAAACAGACTTGCTGTATGAACTTTGGTCAATTGGTCCATTAGTATTTCCATTTCCATCCATCCATTAGCTAAACCCACTTAACCTTGTGTGTTGGGGGGGGGGGGACTGGAGCCAATCCCAGCTGACATTGGGTGAGAGGCGGAGCCGGTTAATCACAGGGACAGACGACCATTCAAACATTCAGACCACATGCAAAAGCCACATGAAGAGGCCAGCCGGCAGGTTGGAATCCGACAACTGCTCCATCAGTGTCTTTAACTACTCAATCCATGTCAGCTTTAAACAGCTAGTACAGATGGCAGGTGAGAATCAGGTTGTAAATTCATTTTTAAAACCATAAGAAATATTACACCGAGAGGTGCCAGCTGACACTGACAGGTGTTTCTATTATATTGTCCACCCCATTTATGTCAACGAGGATAAGCTGAACAACAACAACAACAACAACACCTCTCTGTATGCAGGTCAACAGCACCACAAGCTGCATCCTCCAAAATGAGCGAGTGCGTGTACATGGAACATTGATCTGCACTTCAGTTCATGCACACGCTTCAAAAGTTATCCATTTTTATCACCTTTTCAAGCTCAAGTATAAGTGAAAAGATAAGACAGTAAGGGGAAATCACTGATCTTTTTTTTATTACAATTCATGTCCCTAGCATTTGCCTTATCCTGACTATCTTCTATATAGTATGACTTGTTCTTCTCAAACTCAAAACAGACTAATTTAATTGACTAATTTGTAGAATTACAAGATCTTAAATCTATATAACTGAGCAAAGATAAGATAGATCTTTCTTGGAGTGCACTCCCCACTTCTTAGATAAGAGTGAAGCACCGTTATGCTCTCTGTTTCCAGGATCTGAGACCAACTCTTCTGAGGACTTGATTTAATATGAGTCAGATCAAGCCAGAAAACACAAGACAGACCTGACACAAAATGGTTCATGTGTTTACACCAGTTTCTAATTAATAACCTTCATGTGTCACTGTGTGGAAGAGACTGGGACCATTCTATTATGTGAAGGCATCATCAGGCTTAACATCAATATTGCTTTCCTAACTTTGCAAAACAAAATAGTTATTTATTGAAATAATGGTATCCGATACCAGATCTGCCCATTGACACCGATACCCGATCCAGCTATTTGAGTCAGTATCGGACAAATATCCAATATCGGTAACAATTGGTATTGATATATGCATCTCTAAACATCGAAACCATCAAAGTACAACAGATTGCTTCAACGTATGAAGAGAGCTCCACATTGGCCAGTTGTATCCTGAGTCAGTCAGCCTCAGTGAGTTCCCTACAGGCCTTATTATACCTACATTCATTACGTGCTACACTGCCCCTGCAAAATATGCAGCATATATACATATATGGCAGTGTTCCATGAGAGAAAAGTTGGAGTCCTGAAATACTTATATAAACCACAGAATTGAATATTCTAATGTAACCAAAATAAATTGGAAATGTTCCCAATTATCTAAACTAAATAGTTTTCATACAGCGCTTTTATTCAAAGCACTTTACAAGGCTTTTGCCGCTCATTCACGTTCATCCATTCACACTAACACACTGGCCTGGCAGTCGGGGTTTAGTGTCTTGCCCATAAGGTCACTCCGACATGTAACTACCAACGCTGTGATCAATGGGCAGTCTGCTCTACCTACAGCCCCACCAATTATCAGATTTCGCGAACCAGTCATTTTGGGCAAAAGGGTCATAACTGCACTGAAATGGCCCTGTGCCACAAAAGTGCTCAGATAACAGAAAGAAATATCAAAAAGGAAAACAAACAAAATCAAACTGTACAATAATTATATGCTATAAATATAAGACAACAAATTCCAGCCATCACTATTAACAAAAGTGCCTTACAGTACATTTAGCCTCGATGCCACCTCTTTTATGATTAAATCAGCAAATACAATGAGCCAATTTAGAAACCATACCTGTGTCCCACTTCTACATTAAACTCTGATTCAGTGCACTAATCTTCATATTACACTTCATGCAACCAGAATACAAGAAATTATTTTGTACCAACTGTGAGGCATAAGCTGTCAATCATCACAGTGCGACTGCTGTGAAAACTGCTGCTAATTAAACTTGAAAAAGGAGAAAGCAAACTGTTCACTTCCTTCTTTGTTCTACAGGATGTTCCTGAAGCTGGCTCACCTTCCCCAATTTTTCAAGCTTTGAGCTGCTTCTCGATTTCATGTGTGCATTGCATTGTGGGGCAGTACTGCAGCAATACTCTAAAGTCATGTGTTCCTAATTCAGCAAGTGATCTTTTTTCGCATGCAATTGCCTGTCTTCGCATCTTTCTTGTCTAGTAAACTACATGCTACCAAATAAGATTGGGATTATGTGAAATAATCTTGAACAATGTGCTTTAGCGATAACAAGTACAATATTGTCCACTGAGCCAATGTCTCCCGCACATAAATGATGGCAGTGAGCCCGAAGCAGAGCAGATAATGGAAATGATGGCTGATATAATAAACTCACCAAAAAGGCTGCCTGCCTCACTGGCGCTGGCCTGCAAACAGGATTACCACTCAGTATCATTGTCAATAGAGACAGATGGGCCACTATACCAGACCCAGATCACATAATTCTATCCAGCAGTGCTCATGATTTGATGATTGTTTTCTTTTTATGTATTGGACAGCTTTGAAACCACACAGCATAAATAAAGCTACTAAGAATGATCACAGTAAAGCCATGATGGCATTTACGGTATGCTATAAATGTGGCGAGGCATGGCGACATGAATTTGATAGTTAAAGTTATCATCCTA